AGGATACTGCAAAATCTCCATTCCTACCCCACTCCAGGGGAAGGATTCTGCAAAATCCTCATTCCCTCCCCACTCCTGGGAGAAGGATATTGCAAAATCTCCATTCCCACCCCACTCTGGGGCCCGAATTACTCAAAATTTCTGCGACCGGTTCTCCGAACTGCTCAAAATTTCCGCTACCGGTTCTCCAGAACCTGCTGGATTTCACCCCTGCCTGTACTTTTCCTGGAAAAACACAAGCATGCCAATTCCCCCTATTAAAAACAAAATAATAGAGGTTAGAAATATTAGAAAATTGATAGCAGAAAAAAGAGTAATCCATTGAATCTGCCATTTGAGTTGTTGGCTGATTTTTCTTCTTTCTTTCTTTTGTTTTTTTTAATTTATTTAGGTTAAAATAAGGAATGGATTTAAACCCAGTATTTTATTAACCAGACAGTGTAGTATTAGGATGAAAAATTGGGAGACCCTGAGTTCTAGTTTCACTTTAGGCGGTGGCTCAATGGCTAAGAAGCTGAGCTTGTCGATTGAAAGGTCGGCAGTTCAGCGGTTCGAATCCCTAGCGCCGCGTAACGGGGTGACCTCCCGTGACTTTTCCCAGCTTCTGCCAACCTAGCAGTTCGAAAGCACGTAAAAAATGCAAGTAGAAAAATAGGGACCACCTTTGGTGGGAAGGTAGCAGCATTCCGTGCGCCTTTGGTGTTGAACCATGCTGGCCACATGACCATGGAGATGTCTTCGGACAGCGCTGGCTCATCTCCTTTGAAACGGAGATGAGCACCACCCCCTAGAGTCGGGAACGACTAGCAGATATATGCGAGGGGAACCTTTACCTTTTATTTTGGAAAAAAGGATGTCCTGGATTATTATTTTTTTAAAGCAGAGAAAGATTTGCAAGTTTGAAGGTCAACGCTACTGTGGACAGAAAGTACAGAGACCAGGTTCTCATTTAGTGTACCAAAAACTGGATGCGAGCCAACCTGGCATAAAGACCACAGACTAACAATGTATGAAAAAATTCTGATCTCCATGGTAATTCCATTGCAATTAAGCATAATAGATGGCACATAGGTATTATTTAGCTGCTTCTTAATATAGACCACATCTATGTTCAACACTTACAGCAAGAAAACTATTTTTTTTCTCCAATTAGAGAAAGGTTAAAGTATTGCCAGTTCCATGACTTGTATATATTACAAACTCAGGGAAGCTACAATTATTTAATGCACTAATGGAAAAAATGTCTCATCTTGCAGGAATTATTGAGTCCAGGAAATGTCTTCACAGGTTCCACCAAACTAGAATCTGGCCTCTTAAAAAAAAGGACAGGGTAGGTATTTCTTTAATTCACATTTGAAGATAAGTTCAGATTTCACGATGAGCTTAATTACTTTCAAAGTTTGAAATAATGTACAAATCAAAGATAGTCTCCAAAATTCGGTTTTCTTGGATTTATAACACAATTCACTACAAAAAAAAAAGGGAACCCATATTGGAGTGAGGTCTGCTGCACAAAATGTCAAGTTGAGAAAATTAGGTTAGGCCGAGCTGCAGACAAAAATATGTCCATACATACATACAGACATACATACATACATACATACATATGTATAAAATACGGATGGGTTTTAGTATAGGCTGCTAGCCAACCAAGTTGTGTAAGCGACCAAATTTATAACAGAAAGACTGAGAAACTTAAATCAGCATTGTAGAGTGGGGGGAAGAGCTGTGTTACTCTACGATAACAAAACATCAGGAGGGATCTACAAGCATCTTTTTCTGATTAACAAATTTTATTAAAAGGGATAAGTGTTTCCCCCGAAAGCTTCGGAAAAGGGTGCTAAGACTCCTTGTGAACTCGACAAAATTGCAACCTTGAAAAAGTATAAAGTGGGGAATTTAAGCCTGCAAATGGATCTTGAGCAAGAGCCATGCTGCTCCCGAGCATTTTAAAATGTACAAAATTGTAGCAGGGTTGTTTTAGGCAGATTGAGGGCACTTGCATACTTCTGGTAGCGTGCTTCTGGTGGAGAAGAAGCCGTCACTCTCCACGAGAGGGAAAAGCTGCTCCGATGCAAGCTACCCCCAGCAGATGTCTTACAGATTGTTCCTCAGTTGGCCAACTGTCTTTGCTTAATCTCACTGGCTGTTGGGCCTCTTACAAATACCACAAGATACAGTTTTCTCCACCTCCCACAGTAGCTACAACAGATGGTGTGCGAGTGAGGAGGGAAAGAAAATTGTCTTTCCTCCATTTAGCATCAACAGACTGCCCGTCCTTTCAAGCACAGTTATATGCAGGATCCATTCAGACAGAGTCAAAACAAGCTGGTTTCCTTGCGACTAAATAAAGATTTTATGACATAAAATCCAAGGTGGGGAAAGAAAAGTAGGGGGAACCCCCTAAGACAGAAAGGGCTCCTGTGATGTTATTTAACACTTATTTTTTTAAAAAAAAAAAAAATCCTGGAGAAATACTGTATATGTGCTGTCAGGTGCTGTATTCCTGTTGGCGGTTTCTTAAATTCTTTTCAAGAACTGAGTGTGGGTGAGGAATTACCAAACGCTTTCAGCGCAACTCATAAATTACCCTCTTTGGTGTGTATTCAGCAATCTGGCAGACTTTTCTGCCACCTCTAATAGTCCTTCAGTATCAGGATTTCAGTTAAAGAGGTAGGCGCAGGACGATAGGCAAATAATGACACTGAAAGCAAGCAGAATAATAGAGCAACAGAGTTGGAAGGGACTCTGGAGGTCTTCTAGTCCAACCCTCTGCTCAAGCAGGAAAGCCTATATCGTTCCAGACGGATGGTTGTCCGATCCCTTCTTAAGAGCCAGTGTTGGAGCCCCCACAACTTCTGGATTAAGTCAGGACATTGGAAATCCCCAGGATTAATGATTCGTAGGAGAAGTTGACTGGCAACATCTGGGATCCCCCTAGGGCAGTGATGACAAACCTTTTTGGCACCGAGTGTCCAAACTGGAATGTCTGTTTGTGCATTCCAGGGGTGACCTTCAAAACTTTTAGCAAGGGGTTCTCTGCCCGGTTGCTGCTACTCAGCCTCCTGCACCATGGCGGGAGGGGGGAGGCTTTTTGCCATCCCTGGGTCCGGAGGCTGTCTTTGAACATCCAGGAGGGCGAAAATAGCCTTCCCAGGCTCCGGATACCCTCTGGAGGCCGGAAACAGGCTCGTTTCCCGATCTTCCGGTAGGCCCGTTTTTCGCCCTCCCCGAGCCTCCATGCATGCCCTGTACTTACCTGCATCCAAAATGGGATGCTTGGGGACTCCTGGGAAGGAAGGGGCGGGGCAGGGCTAGCCAGGAGTGGGATTTGGGGGTTCTCCGAACTGCACAGAATCTTAGCTAGAGGTTCTCCCGAACCCCCAGCAACCCAACCCTGGCGCATTCGCCTGCATACGCCAGAGCACCAAAAACCCAAGGACCAGCTGATCTTCAGGTTTCCGGCACGCGCAAACGTGCCAGCCAGCTGGTCTTCGCACGCGTCAGAGCTGGCCAGCTGTTTTTTTGGTTTCCGGCACTCTGGTGCATGCGAGGACCAGCTGGCTGACACGCATGCATGCGACGGAGATCCAAAGACCAGCTAAAGATGGTGCACGTGTCCACAGAGAGGGCCCTGTGTGCCACCTCTGGCACACGTGCCATTGGTTTGCCATCACAGCCCTAGGGCTGTTTCAAGGAGGAGGTTTTTTTAAAAAAAGTTAGGATGGCTGATTCAGTAACCAGGGTTAGGTAAATAACCTGATTCAATGAAAACTGGTTCACTGATCAGCAGTCTGCGATTGCAAGGGACAGAAGAAAAATGCAACAGGAAAAAAAGGGGGAAGAACAGAACAGAACAATCAGAGCATGGCTGGCTGGCCCCGAAATGCATCTTCTGGGCAATCTTTGGGGAGGGTCCATTAATTCCCCCCCCCAACTCTTAACAGAGAAAAGACAAAACAAGGGAGTGGGAGTCAGTTCCTGCTTCTAACACACAGTAAAAAAGTCTTTCAATTCCTTTGCTTAACAACAGAAGCTATTAGCTGTAAGCAGTGCAAGGGCTGAATAGAATCGGTTGCTCCTGATAGAAGGAGACTTACTGAAACGGCACTAATATATATTTTTTTTTAAAGTTCATTATCTGCTAGTGGAAAACAATTCCCTTTAAGAACCAAAGAGGGACTTTTTTTCTGCAGCAGCTTCAGCGAGCCGACTTTCCCCTCATCTCACATTTTTTTTCTTTCTCCCAGATCCAACGATGTAATTCAACTCTGCCACCGTCCCCTTCATGGCAAACATCAGTCCAGAGGTGGGCTGCTGGGGGTTCATAGGAGTTCAGGAGAATCTCTAGCTAAGATTCTGTGCAGTTCAGAGAACCCCCAAATCCCACTCCTGGCTGGCCCACCCCGCCTGTCCCCTCCCAGGAGTCCCCACGCGGCCCTTTGTGGATGCAGATAAGTGCAGGGCGCGTGCTAAGGCTCAGGGAGGGCAAAAAACGGGCCTACTGGAAGTTCGGGAAGCCCGGAAATGGGCCATTTCTGGCCTCCAGAAGGCTTCTGGAGCCTGGGGAGGCTGTTTTCGCACTCCCAGAGGTTTGAGAAAAGCCTCCGGAGCCCGGGGAGGGCAAACCCCGGCAGAGAACCCCTTGCTAAAATTTTTGAAGCCCATCCCTCTCTCTCTCTCTCTCTCTGTGTATATAATACTTATATACATACATACAGTGTTTGTGTATGTGTATATGGTATTACATAACCTGTCGTGTACATTTCTGTGTCAACTGCATCTCTTTGCTATTAAAGGGAAATGCGTGCAAATTGTTGCAAATTAACAACTATCATAATAATAAGCTTACGGGACTCCCAATTGCAAAACAAATGTTTTTGAAACAACTTTTGTATTTCTGCCTATCAGGTAAAAGCATTCAGGCTGGAAAACTCAGACATCCTTACATGTCTCTAGGGGAAAAAAAAAGGTTACTTGGATTATTAATAAGATTCAAATGACTTGTTAACATGGCTTATTTAAAAATGAGCGACACAAGATTTTACATTTTTTAAAGAATTGTTAGGGTTTTGATTCTCGCAATGAACTACATTTCAGAAAAAAAAAATTTTTTTTGCCGCAGGCCCCGTTTCATATTCTCAGCTAGGTTTGTTCTAAATCCTTTGTGCAAAAAAAGCAAAAGATACATTAAAAATTACAAAGCCCCAAATCGGAACGTTATCTTCACTGTTGAAATCGAAAAGCAGCATAGAATAAATAATTAAAAGGTGTGGGAATCATTTCGAAATTACCAAATATAAACGATCGTGCCATTACTGCTACGGCGACTTCGCAGCCAAGGAGCGTGGCCATGCGGCGGATTAAAAAAATAAAAGAGAAATTCTGCAAAATCTCCACCAGCCCATCTTTGACTAGTAGTTGAACCTGTGAATTGTCAAAAGCTTTAAAATCAAGACACTCCAAACACGTCTGTTCCACTTGCAAAAAATTTGCTCATTTTGTTTCATCCCGCGCGTGATGATGTCCCCGCCTGAATTATTGCCCAGATACTAAACCTCTGAAGAAATTGTGTCCTACTTTCACAACAAATTATTTCAGATAATATTCCTGATATAACGGATGCTCCAAAGTCTTAATTCAGAAATTGGCACAGTTAACAGAGAAGCAAAAGACTTAAGTGCTGGTCGAATCTTGCCCTGCTGGGGAAAACACTTGTCATTTGGGTTCGCCAAGAAAGCAAAACAAAATTGAATGAGAGTGAGCCATTCTTCCTTTTGCCTTCGTTGTCAACGCAACTTGTTCCTCCCCTTGGGGGACGGAAGAGGCTACCAAACAAGCATTTGTGCCTGCAAAAGGACAGTTTGGTTTTGGAACAGCCGTGCTTGAAAAAGCGCTTCCCAAGTTTGGCTCCACTCGTGGGACGTTCTCTCGGTTGTCCTCAAGCGCCTTCACGGAGGAACGACTGCTCTTCGGGATCCTCACATGGTGTAGGCCACCCAATAGATGACGTTGACCGCAGCAAAGGCAGCTGGGAAAACTGCCCTGGCGTAGATATCGATGGTGTCGGCGTCGATGGGCTTGAAAAGAGATTTGAGACCCTTTTTGGGCTTTGGTGCACCTCCTTTCTTGGTGTCCCCCGTTTCTACTTCAGCGGAGCCGTACGAGCCAGAGAGGTTTCGGGGCCTTCGGCGGTGCCTGCTGGACATGGCCAGCTCCTGGTTGACTCCAGCAATCGAAAGGGAGAACATAACAATGGCGTTTTTCACATTGACCTGAAAGGGGAAAGAGGGCAGGTAAAATTGGGAAGATGGGACAACCGGAGGCCCAGTTCCCTCAACCTGGATAATCCAGACACTCTGACCTTCAGAAGTAGATCTGGACTAACGTGGCAATGAATAGCTTAGCAAACTGTTACAGAAAGTGAAACACAGGCTGAATTCGCAGACTACTTTATGACTGTGGTTTGTTGCCTAAACCAAGATGGCTGGATTTATAAACTCTCCCTTAACCAAGCTCTATTTTATCAGTGGTTTGCCCCACCCAACACATGCCACATTAAAGCCAAATTGAACAAATTATGATTATTATTTTTTTAGCGGGGTATGTCAGACTAGGAGAAATCAAACATGTTTTCTGGACAACACTAAAGATCTACAATGAAGTTCAAGCCGATATTCTTTCTGCCAAATTAAACCCTGCCTTTTATTTTATTTTATCTGATCCTACATATACTAACAGCAGCGAGAATTGCATTCGCGCAATATTGGAAAGAACATAACGTACCGCCAAGAGGGATTGATTATCCAAAAAATATTTGAATGTGCCGAAATGAATAAGCCAACTTTAGAATTAAAAGAAAAAGAGGATTCGGAATATTATGCGGTTTGGGAAAAATGGTATAGGTGGAGAGACAACAGAAACAAAAATAAGTAATATTCATAAGGAAGTTGAGGATATATGTAGGTCTTTGGTTATTCGGGTTTTCTCCCGCGTAAAATTGGAGGTGTCTTGGCAACGTTTCGACGAAGACTCATTCGTCATCTTCAGGCTGGTGTTCTCGGCTTCGTGCTTCTAGGAGCAATGTGTGTGATCGCAGCTGTTTTTTCCTTTTAACTGCCAGTGGAGGTGTGAACTGATTGGGTGGGAGCTTGGCTGTGTTCTGATTGGGAACCCAATAAAATGTAGATTTAATGTGAACTGTTAATCCAAAGTATATAAAAATGACACTGTCTGTTTGAATATGTATTAGAGTTTTGGAAAAGAAAAACTATAATAAAATTATTTTAAATAAATAAATAAATAAACCCTGCCTTTTATTTTATTATATATATATATATATATATATATATATATATATATATATATATATATATATTATTGGATTTATATGCCGCCCTCTTTCCACAAGGACTCAGGGCAGCTCACAGCAATAAATAACAACAAGTCCAATTAAAATTCAACTATAAAACTAAAATTAAAATTAAAATTCCCATTAAAACCCCATTCAGTCCATTTTATTTATTACTTACTATATTTGTTTTCCACCCAGCTCGCCTCAAGACGACTTTTGCTGTAACACAACTTGCCTGGCTTCACACATCACTTAAAGTGACTTGGGCTTGGCTTGTGGCGTGAATCTGGCCATTTGGTCCTTGTCAAGCTTCGTTTAGGGTTTTTGTGCATGTTGCACAACTAGGTATTAATGCAGGGGAGTGTTAAGACCTATGGACCAGTGGTGGGTTCCTCCCAGTTCAGTCCGGTTCTTGCGAACCGGTAGTAAAAGCAGTGGGAGGCTCCACCCATCTGCCCGGATGTCATCATGGACGATTTGTGCATGTGCAGAAGCTTCTGTGCACGCTCCTGTTGCAAACCAGTAGTAAAGGTAAGTAGAACCCACTCCTGCTGTGGACTTCAACTCCCAGAATTGAATGCTGGGTGGGGAATTCTGGGAGTTGCAGTCCACAGGTCTTAAATTCTGGGAGTTGAAGTCCACAGATCTTAAGAGTTGCCAAGGTTGGACTCTCCTGTATTAGTTCATGGCTAACGAAATAGTATTGTTTATGGCTAACTAAATATAATACGTGAATGACATCAAAAGCTAGCCAAGCCATCCAAGCTAAGAAATGGATCTCAGCCAGAAGCGTCTACTAACCTCTTCTGCCCGCCTGTTGGACTTCAGTTTGTCTTTTTGCTTTTTCATATAGTCGGCATTGAAATGGGCAAAGGCGTATTCCACCAGCGCGGCGAAGACAAAGACATAACAGATCCAGAAGTAGACATCCAACGCTTTTATGGCCGAAGCCCTAGGGAGGGAAGAACGAGCGCTCACCATCAGGGTGGTCATGGTAAGCACTGTGGTTATGCCTGTAAGAAAGAAAGAAAGAAAAAAGATTAGCACCTAGAGCAGAGGTCTGCAACCTTAAATACTCAAAGAGCCATTTAGACCCGTTTCCCACAGAAAACAGCGGGAGCCACAAAACCTGGGTGGGCGTGGCTAACTTGATGTCACTCACTTCTACCAGTCACATGACACCCCCTCGCGCCCCCCCAGCCAGCTAGTTCTGACTAACACTAGTCCAAGGAGACAGAAAATTACTTGCTTTTTCAACCTTGGAATCTCAGGAGCTTAAGGTAACACACACATCATAATCCTACTGCTCCTCACAACAAACCTGTGAGGCAGTTGGGCTCAGAGTTTTAATTAAATCCTCCACAATCCTTATCCAGCACTCCATTCAATGCGCCACCCCAGCTCCAAAGGGTTTTGTAAAAATCAGGTGGAGTCAGTGGTGGAATTCAAATTTTTTTACTACCGGTTCTGTGGGCATGGCTTGTGGGCATGGTGTGGCTTGGTGGGCGTGGCAGGGGAAGGATATTGCAAAATCTCCATTCCCACCCCACTCCAGGGGAAGGATACTGCAAAATCCCCATTCTCTCCCCACTTCTGGGGGGAGGGTACTGCAAAATCTCCATTCCCACCCCACTCCAGGGGAAGGATACTGCAAAATCTCCATTCCCACCCCACTCTGGGACCAGCCAGAGGTGGTATTTGCCAGTTCTCCGAACTACTCAAAATTTCCACTACCGGTTCGCCAGAACCTGTCGGGACCTGTTGGATTTCACCAGTGAAGTCCTCTTTTACCTAGGGAGACCCGTGCAGGTACAGCTGACTGGCTGATCCAGAAAGAGACCCAGGACATGGCCACCAAGAGGATGGAAGGCATGTAGGACTGGATGATGTAGACACCTCGGTTCCTCCGCAGATGGAAATGGAGACTCAGGCGGGGGAACTGGCCAGCTGCAAAACGGAGATATTTTTTTAAAAATGTCTTTTTTGGTTGTCCTTTTATCCTGCCCTCAGAATGGCTTCCATCATTCCCTTGAACATTGGGCGCTATCTAACAAAATGAAATTCAACGGTGAAAAAAAGTAAAGTTCTACATTTAGGCCAGAAAAACCAAAATGCACAGGTACAGTATAGGTGGTAACTTGCTCAATAGTAGTAACTGTGAGAGGGATCTTGGAGTCCTAGTGGACAACCATTTAAATATCAGCCGGCTGTGTGCAGCAGCTGCCAAAAAAGTCAACACAGTTCTAGGCTGCATCAACAGAGGGATAGAATCAAGATCATGTGAAGTGTTGATACCACTTTATAAGGCCTTGGTAAGGCCATGCTTGGAATTCTGCATCCAGTTTTGGTCGCCACCATGTAAAAAAGATGTTGGGACTCTAGAAAGAGTGCAGAGAAGAGCCACAAAGATGATTATAGGGGACTGGAAGTTAAAACATAAGAAGAACGGTTGCAGGAACTGGGTATGTCAAGTTTTATGAAAAGAAGGACCAGGGGAGACATGATAGCAGCGTTCCAATATCTCAGGGGCTGCCCCAAAGAAGAGGGAGTCAAGCTGTTCTCCAAAGCTCCTGAAGGTAGAACAAGAAGCAACGGGTGGAAACTCATCAAGGAGAGAAGCAACTTAGAACTAAGGAGAAATTTCCTGACAATCAGAGCAATTAACCCGTGGAACAACTTGCCTCCAGAAGTTGTGAATGCTCCAACACTGGAAGTTTTTAAAGAAGGGTTCACCAACACTTGTACCAATGAACTGTGGATTACAAACCACAGTAGGGAAAAAAAAATTAGGCCACCTCAAGCCGTCTCATAGTTAGATTTCTGCTTACCAGTGTGAAACTCCAGTTTTGCACTTTGTGAACAGTTGCTCGTAGCCGTATGTATGTTGTGTGAATTTAGCCATATAAAGAGCAAACCATGATTAAAACTTATTTATCATCATGAATGAGCCCTGTATTTAAAAGCCCGAGATTCATCTTTTAAAAATGCCATTTTACCCATCTTGGTGAATTGGGCCCTTACAGCTTGTTCAACCCAGCTAATTTCCTGCCTCCTTAGAAAATATGGTGCTCAATAACCATCCAGCCATTAAGTAACTACAATGACTTTACTTACCCGATTTGAAGTTCATGAGTTCAGTAGTGAATCGATAACTGATAATGGTGAACTGAGCAAGCTGCAGCTTATCCAAGCCGTGAATTTCCTCTTGGTTCTCAGACCAGTGGTAGACAATGTCCTCGGAGGAGTAGCCATCTATTTATTTTAAAAAAAAATCCTGAATAAATACAGGTGCATAAAGAGGAAGGTGAAAATAGGGCTTCACAATAATAGGTTAAACCTGCTTTGCACGTGAAGATAAAGTTTCATTCAAGCCAAACCCAACTTCTGGTGACAGCATAAACATGTCTGTGGGTTTTTTTTGACCACTGTCCAAAAATTATTTACTCTTAACCGACAATCCATTTTTATTTCATCATAGACCAGCTTATTCTTCCCCACTTCACTGTTTCTTCCACTTCCCAGACTCAAAAGCACGGCAAAAGCACACAAAGTCATATCCCTTCTTTCCCCCCAGCTTGTGTGATTTGTATATTTAAACTCACAGCTCTCCAATTCCAGCATGCATTCCTGCTCATCCATTGGATACTTGGTGAGATCCATGTCACAAGCCACCGTAGAGGTAATCCTGCACCAAGCAAAGAAAGAGCAAAACACACAACTCTTTATATTCAAAGCATCTTTCTGCTTACCCTGCACACTTAGGAGGCCAGTGTTTCCCAACCTTGGTCCTTTCTAGGTATGTGGACTTCAAATCTCAGAATTCCACACAATGAGAATTATAGGAGCTGAATTCCCAACATCACGATATTCCCGAAATTGGGGGAATGCTTCCTGCCATTTCACTACCCGATAAATACAGCTCTGGCCACAAAAATTGTCATTTTTACCTGATGCTGTAAAGAATGACTCCATCGGGCTGCAGCCTGATCAGCTTATTCTCCACTGTTACGTCATGAAACCAGGCTGACTTCGCGTTGACTATAAATGTATCCGGAAGCCAGAGTTTGTCCACAAAACGGCTATCCAAGCCCAGCGTTTCGTTGGTCCGGTTGTACGACAGCCGGTGGTCCCGCCAACTTTGATGCAGAAAGACTGTCATTGTATATTCCTAAAGACGAGAATTAACAGAGCAGATTTTTTTTTAAAAAAAATTCCCTTTAAAAAAATGGCTGTGACAACTTCCCTGGGCCAAACAAGGAACATTTTCCATTTTTCTTTGTCATATTCCTAACAGCTTATTCTTAAATTAGAAGGGCAGCTTATTTGTCACCACTAAAGATTCATGAATTACAGAATGACAGAGTTAGAAGGGTCCTTGGAGGTCTTTCCTCCAAAGGTGGTCCCTATTTTTTCTACTTGCATTTTTTAACGTGCTTTCGAACTGCTAGTGGGGTGTGGTCCAGTGACTCAGCTAATCTCTGGCACGCCTTCCCCTCTGCTGCGCACGCTTCTCCCTGCGCTGCTGCCGAGGAGCCAGCCAGCACTTATCTCCTTCATCGCTGTCCACCTGTGGCTGCGGGGACGTGCTTGGCTCTGGGCCTATCTCTTGGCCTTCGGTGTCCTCCGGAGGCATTGCCAGAGAGGAGGGTCCTGGAGAGGGAGGCCTTGCCAACTCCTCTCCCTCACTCTCAGAGTCTGCATCTGTCGATAGTCCAGGCTCAGGCAACAGAGCCACAACAACTCCGTTATGTGGCACTAGGGATTCGAACCGCTGAACTGCCGACCTTTCAATCGACAAGCTCAGTGTCTTAGCCACTGCGTCCCACAATAAGTCTTACGTCACACAATAAGTCTTAAGGAACCTCTAAAACCAGTCAAAATCAGTGGAAATACTCTTACTAGAGTGTGGGTTGCTTAGGCTGTTACAGTACTGAGATGGGAGCTATAGTTTTCTTACAAATAAAGCAAAACAAAAAGTAAAATAACAGGTTGATTACTCTTGCTGGCATTTCTAGGGTAGTCTAAAAACAATTGCCATTTTCACCATCAGTCGAACGAACGTGGTGTCACCGTGTCTTGCTTAGCTCTGGTGCTCACTTACCATGTTGGCCTCAGAGATGTGGTCGATGCTAGCCACTTCGATAGCCAAAGCCACGTTAACAGGAGGCCCTCGATAGAAAAAGACGAAGAGAGAGATTAAAACAGGCACTGGAATTCGTGTTCATCCTAGGCCAGCCTATTTCTGTGTCCTATGTAAATTAGAGTAATGCATGAATGAGAAAAAGTTATGCCAAGGCCCTAAACCAGATTAGCCCCGTAGCTCATCTCCGTGGGCATTATTTTAATGTGTTTTTAATTTATAAATTTTTTATTTATTCCATTTGCACCGCAGTACAATTTTTACAACTCCTTCCTGACAATCGTGGATGATAGGAAGGGATTAAAAAAATGTAACTCTATGCTGACCTATAATATGTAAATAGTGCATCCTGTGCTAATTAACCTTACCTCCAATTCCTGGCCTAAAATTCCGGGCGTATCCTTTAATCAAGTCATCCAAATTAGGCAGCCAAGATATTTCTATGTTTGACCCGATGTAATCTCCAATATCATTCAGGGCTCTCCATTGAAAGAACGAAAGAGAAAAAAGGGAAAGAAAATCAAACGCTTTATTTAGTGTTAACAGCTTTCAAAAACAGCACTTTTCCGTTATAAAGATTCAAATTCGGCTGGATATTTAAAAATTGCTGTTCACGGACTTTAGCCGGCGTTGAACCTGATGGGGAAGACCAGGGGAAGTTGAGAAAAGATTAAATTGATGAATGAGATGCTCAAAAAGCAAGGCAAGATCATAAGGTCTTTGCCCAAAGAGACATTTATAGAAGAGAAGAGAAGAGAAGAGAAGAGAAGAGAAGAGAAGAGAAGAGAAGAGATGAATAGAACAGAGAAAAGAAAAGTGAATAGAACAGAACAGAATAGAATAGAACAGAATAGAATAGAATAGAATTCTTTATTGGCCAAGTGTGACTGGACACACAAGGAATTTGTCGTAAGTGTATACGCTTTCAGTGTCCATAAGGAGAATAAAATACATTCATCAAGAATAAAGAGATACAACACTTAGTGATAGTCACAGATTACTAATAAGATGTCAAATCGTACTAGGAAAGAAATAAAAACCATATAAATTGAAAGATACAAGCAACATGATTATAGTAATAAGTGGAAAGAGATAGATACTAGTAAGGAAGGGAAGAATAATAGTAATACAGTCTTAGTTATTTGATAGCGTTGTCAAATAATTTACTAAGACTGTATTAATATTATTCTTTTATATTCTTTAATGTTATTAGATATCAACCTTTGACAAAGGTCCTGGAATAGATTTATGGCTAAGGGATTCTGGATTTTGTCAAAGATTATTCTGGGAACAGTTTAAAGCAGGACCAATCCACTTTTGTGAGCTGGGAGAATGTTTGAGATTTTGAGTGCCTGTCGTAGGAATCTATTGTAAGCCCCATTAAATTGTAGTTTTAACCTAATGAAAAGGGACTGATTAGTAAAGAAATACAAAGTGAGCAGTCCTGTTTCCCGATAGTACATCATTCTAATGAAGTACAGATTTTATCCTCACGCAGCCTAACATCCAGTGGTGGAATTCAATTTTTTTTTACTACCAGTTCGGTGGGCTTGGTGGGCGTGGCATGGCTTGGTGGGCGTGGCAGGGGGAGGATACTGCAAAATCCCCATTCCTTCTCCACTCCTGGGGGAAGGATATTGCAAAATCTCCATTCCCTCCCCAGTCTGGGACCAGCCAGAGGTGGTATTTGCCGGTTCTCTGAACTACTCAAAATTTCTGCTACCGGTTCTCCAGAACCTATCAGAACTTGCTGGATTTCACCCCTGCTAACATCCCCCTTTGCCCTCGTATTCAAGTAGGACTGTTCCATTTTTTTTCCATCTTTTTATTCCTAGTCGCTCTTCCCTTCTCCAACCTCCACCCCTTTTCTGGGCTTCCAGAAAAAGGAACTGGAGCCTCCTTGGGGCGGAGATCATTCTGGGACTTTTGGTATAAAATAACAAAAAATATTACCATGCTAAATGGGGCGGAGGGGAGTGGGAGAGAGCAGAGAAAACAAGATCTGCAGCCCACCTCTTTTCGCCAAGCACATACCGCAAGCATAAATTGAAACTGTATCTGAGGAACAATGACTCATCCCTACCCAATTACTGTACCAGGGTTTAATAAGTCACTGCATGAAAAGCTGCCAGAAACCAAGGAGTCATGGGGCGGGGACGGGGGGGGGGGCTAGGAAGAGGAAAAGAGAGAGGTAGAGAAGCTGCCAGCACCCCCAAATTTTTGTTTTTGTTTTTCCCCCTCCCCCTGTCTTGTATTTTTCCTCCTTTTAAAAGTCTGGGGGAACCTCCCATTTCTTCAAGTGCAAACCTGGCCTCATTTTAGTATTTAGTATTTTAGCGCTACGGTGGCGCAGTGGTGAGAGTGCAGTACTGCAGGCTACTTCTGCTGACTGCCGGCTGCCTTCAATTTGGCCGTTCGAATCACACCAGGTTCAAGGTTGACTCAGCCTTCTATCCTTCCGGGGTGCGTAAAGTGAGGATCCAGATGGCTGGGGGCAAGAGGCTGACTCTGTAAATCGCTTAGAGAGGGCTGTAGAGCACTATAAAGTGGTATATAAGTCTAAGGGTTATTGCTATTGCTATCCAGTGTTGATCTTCCCATTCAATTCAAGCAATGCAATCAGTTGATAGGTAGAACTAAATTCTGGCCCACAATATAACTAGTCCTCAATTTACAACCACAATTTAGCCCAACATTTCTGTTGTTAAGCAAGACTTTCGCTCCATTTTACGACCTGGGGTAGAGCTGGGGAAACTATTGCGAGGAAACGCATTCCCCTTCCCCAATATACACGTTTAGTTTACTTTACTTTACTTTAGTTTAGCTTAGTTTAGTTTATTGTCATTGCACCTCCTACAACAAGATTAAATGCCATCTTCAGTGTACATTATAACTATAAAAATAAAAACACAAACACACATCCTTCAAATTCTATACAATTGAATTGAGAACCCCTGATATTGCATTAATATTGCACTACACAGTAGAATTCAGTATAGTTACTGCCCTGGGATAGAAGCTGTTTTTCAGCCTATTTGTCCTTCTTTTGATTGTCCTGTACCGTCTGCCTGATGGTAATAGTTCAAAAAAAAAAAAAAAAAGGGTACCCAGGATGAGATGGATCTTTAAGAATGTTTTGAACTTTCTTAAGGCAGCGGGAGCTATAAGGCTCTTCCAAGGAGGGGAGAGGGCAACCCATGATCCTCTGGGCAATGACGTTGACCCTCTGGAGCGCTGTCCTATCTGCCACTGTGCAATTGGCAAACCAGACACAGATGCCGTAAGTTAAAATACTCTCTATGGTGCAGCGATAGACGGTCACCAGCAGTTTTCCATTCAGTTGTTGTTTCCTGAGAAGTCTTGGGTAGTATAACCTCTTTTGAACCAAGACAAATTCCTTGTGTGTCCAATCACGCTTGGCCAATAAAGAATTCTATTCTATTCTATTCTATTCTATTCTATTCTATTCTATTCTATTTATTCTATTCTATTCTATTATTCCAAAGATTATGCAAAGAGAGAAAAAAGCTTGACTAAAATTGAAACCATGCGTTCCAGTGCCAAGAACCGAACTTATGCCAGTAGACACCTAACCAAATATCCCCTTCCCCAAGGGAAAAAAAAACAACAACCCAACCCTGTTTAATTCGAAGGAAGTGACTTTTCTGACTGTCCCATTTGATGCTCCAAAACAGACGCACGGAGGAAGGAAGTGCGTAGTCGCCTCATTTGAAACCATTCCTTAAGGATGCTCCGCTCGCTACGGAGGGGGTCCCTCTGGGCTAGCAAATAGGACACGGTATATTTTGGTCCTTCTTCGGCAAGAAACTCTCTTCCCCTTTGGCCTTTGTCAGCATAACCCACATTCTTTAGATCAGGCGGAGCGAAAAATCCATGGCATTTTCGCTGTCAGCGGAGGCGGTGATGACCGCCAATTTAGATGGCTTTAAACAGGGGGGGCCTAGACCAAACCCTGAGCAATCAAACTCTCACAGCGCTGATGGTTTCAATCACAGAGACACCCACCCACCCACCCTGCCTTGGCTACCCACAGCTGTTGGGGAGCCTGGTTGGCAACTGGATGGGCCCTTGGCCTGATCCGGCTCAGATTCGGGGTGACCTTAATTGATCACCTTTCCAAGTGGAGCTGTTAGCTTGGGGCAAAGGTCTCATCGTCGGTTCAAATCTGACTTTAAAGTCATTTTAAAATGCCAGCGTCAATAAAACCAACTTTTCCTCTCTTTTTTTTTTCCAGGCCAAAAGGGGGACAATTCTGTGTGTGTTCCGAGCGACACATAGACTTACCGATGTTTGTATGTATGTCAAAAATTACAAATGCCAGAAAAAAGAAAAAAAAAAAAACCACACCCCAGAGTAGTTGTGATTATAAGAGCCTTGGTGGAGCAGTGGACTAAGTGCTGTTAAAGCTGCCTGCAATTACTGCGAGTTCAAATCTCACCAGGCTCAAGGTTGACTCAGCCTTCCATCCTTCCGAGGTAGGTAAAATGAGGACCCGGATTGTGGGGGCAATAAGCTGACTTTGTATAAAAAAAAAAGAACACCGCTTGGGAGTGGGGGGCGAAAGCCCTACTAAGCAGGTATATACAAAAGTAGGAAGGCTATTGCTTAACGCATTGTAAGCCGCCCTGAGTCTCCGGAGAAAGGGCGGCGTATAAATCGAACTAATAAATAAATAAGTGGGGAGTTCAACAAAACTCTTTCTAAAGTGGGGCGGGGGGACGGACCTCTGGTTTGACTGCCCTTTGTGCAGGTTCGGGGGCAACCTCTTAAGAGGGAAATTTTGGGGGCCCAGGGCTTAGATTGTTTCAAATCCTGTACCCCTAGTAAGCCTTGGGTACTCTCACTTGTGCCAAAAGTAAAATAATTAAACAAAAAACAGGGATGTCAGCGCAGATGCGTGGCTGATGTTTTTTTCGGGGTGCGGGTGCGGGGATGAACCCCGTCTCCCAGAAATAAGATCTCCCTCCTTTCATCGCTAAGCATCTGGCTCCTTTCCAACAAAGGAGCGCCCCGCAGCCAAAGTGGAATAAACAGACCCGGGTTAAACGTTTCCCACGCGTGCCGCGGCTTCTGGATTGCGCCAGGAGCGCCGGATCCAGCTTCCTCTCCAAGCCCCGTTGGATTCGAGGCTATAAGGCAGCAGCGACGGGCCGGGGTATAACCAGCGGCCCAAGACTTTCCCACGCATCCCCATCCCCAAATGTAATTTTCCCCCGAAAGCGCAGGGTGGCGCGTAAAAGGGACGCCTTCCTTTTCTCGCCCCGTCCCTCGAGAGAGAGTGGCCGGCTCCAACCCACGTCGGGGTTGGCACCGGCCCCGGCTCCCCTCTTCCTACCCCCGGTAGACTCAAACGGGGCGCACACGCAGGACGACACGGCCAAGCAGGCGCGCGGGGAAAAAAAGTGCCCAAGCGCACCTAGCCTGCCTTAAACCCGGGGAGGCTCCGCTCCGTTCCTCTCGCTCGCTCTTACCTGGTCCAGGTGTGCTGTTGGGCGCAGAGCAGCAGCAAGGAGGGGAAAAGCCAGGTGAGCGATTCCATCTCTGGCCGAGAGACATTGACCGAAGAGGGGGGCGAGAAACAGATGTAAAGTGGGGTGGGGGACAGGCAAGGGAGTTTTCTCCAAAGTCGCTTGCAGGGGCGCGTAGAAGTTGGCACAACGCGGCGCGAAGGTCGGTCGGTCGGTCCTGCTCCGCACAGTGGAAAGAAAGAGGAGGAGGTGTGGGGGGGGGGGGGGGGCACAAAAAGGGGGGGGGTTGGGGGGGGGGGGGGGGGGGGGGAAGAGAAGTTGGGGGCTCCGTTGCCTCTCCAAGCGACGTGGCTGCGCAGCAACCAGAGGGCGCGCGCGTTGGGCAAAAAACGATGCTGGAGCGGAGTAGGGAAAGGCAAAATTCGAGGGCCACTCTTCTCCTCCTTCTTCTCTTCACCTCGCTCTCCCTCCTTTCCTTCGCCGGTCAGTCCATTCGGGAAAATGAGACGACGACTGCCACTTTAAATACAATTTTTTTAAAAAAAGAAAAAGAAGAAGAAGACGCCGAGCACAGAGCTTGCTGGCCGAAAATAAACCCCTTTGGAAATTACAGATTTTGAGTGTTACCAAAGCAGCTCAACAGCTGGAGGAGGAGGAGGAGAAAGAGGAGGAAGCACGTTGACACGTGTTTCCCCACCCCCACCCCAAGAGCCTAGATTTCGAAAGGGAGAGGAAGAGAGATGGAGGGAAGGAGAGAGAGGAGGAGAGAAGAAAAAAGGGAGAGTGGTGGAAAGGCTGCAAAGGATGGCAGGCTGGCAAAGTGCAAAAGAAGTGTGTGTTTGGGGAGAGAGATCAGGGGCGAATCACAAAGAAAAGGGGGAAGGAGAAGGGTTGAACAGGATTTCTGGAATACAGAGGGAAGGTTTTTCAAGAGCAAAAGACAATTAAAGGGCTGAGAAAGCCCAAGATGAGATTATCCTTCCCTAGAAGATGGCAAACTGTCAGGTTTAAGGGAATCTTAGGTTAAATGCGATGCTTCTCTTCCTTCTTCTCTCTCTCTTTTTTTTTTTAATTTGATTTATATGCCGCCCTTCTCCGGAGACTCAGGGCGGCTTACAATGCGTTAAGCAAAAGCCTTCATACTTTTTGTATATTTATACAAAGTCAGCTTATTGCCCCCACAAACTGGGTCCTCAATTTACATACCTTAGAAAGGATGGAAGGCTGAGTCAACCTTGAGCCTGGGGAGATTCGAACTTGCAGTAATTGCAGGCAGCTGAATGTTAATAACAGGCTATTAGTCTGCTGCGCCACCAGGCTCTCTCTCTTCCCCATCCCCATTTCCTATCATCTCCCCCCAATTGGGGCTAGAGGAGGGGGTCAGGAATATAACTCAGAAGGCTCAACCTCCATCGAAAATGAGAACGGCCTTTTCTGCCAAATCTCTTTATCAAATTAAGATAACTTGATATCTTTGGATGGCTGCGGTCCAGCAAAGTGCTGAGCCGTGCGCTTAATAGAGCCGTGGATTGGTTCGGTCCAATTTTCCAAGGACGTCCTGAACAAGGTGTCCCACAACGCCCAGGGCTAAATGGTGATTGTTTGGCTTGTAGCTTTGAGGCGAGGCAGGTGGGTTGTCAGTCTGAGCGCTAAGGAAAAAGGGGACGGGGACCGAGAGGTTTCTGCCCAAGACTTGAACTGCATGACCTTTGCAAACGATTTACCCCAAAGATACGTTTTTAATAATGCTGGAGAGATTCGATGGGACAATCACTTCCATCCCAAACTACTTCTTCAATAGGGCTGCTGTTCATTGGCATCCTTCAGTCTCAAGAGACTATGGTATCGTGCTCTGGAAAGAGGTCCTAAAACAGCATCTGGTGTGACTAAAAAAAGCCAATTCGAGAGTGGCAATCCCTTCCACACTGAGGGCAAATACATTCTGTCCCTTGCCCAGTCCGCAGATTTTGCTGGTTCCGGGATGGCCTCTTTGCCTTAGCCTGCCGAACAAGTGTCTCTTCGAATTGGAGGAGGCCGTGTTGCGTCTTTAGCCTCCAAGCTGAACGATCGGAGGTCAAGGTTTCCCAGTTGTTAATGTCCATTCCCAGGACCTTTAGGCGGGGGATGGAGAAGCAGCCAGGACAGAGACAGAGAGATACAGAGAGAGGAAGAGAGGGAGGAGGGAGAGAGAGATGTCAAAAGGATTTTGTGGTTCCCGGTGTTTTTTAACAACTGGTTCTCCGTCCTAATGCGTGGCTAGGGGGGGCGTGGCTAGGGGGTAGGCATGGCTAGGGGGGGTCATGTGACTGATAGAAGTGAGTGACATCGAGTTGGCCAGGCCCACCCAGCTTTTGTGGCTCCCGGTGTTTTCTTTTCTGTGGGAAACGGGTCTAAAGGGCTCTTTTGAGTATTTAAGATTGCAGACCCCTGGTTTAGCATGTTGTGTGAATTACAAGAGATATCCCACCCTCCACGTTGTTTGAACTCACCCACATGTCGCCCCCAACGAGAGAATCTTAGCCACTTCAAAGAAAGTTTCCATCTCGAAATTTAGGTTTAAATAATTCAACATCCTGAGCTGTGATTAGCGTGTGGTTCAGTGGGCCGCAGAAATCCGGGGGAAAAAAATGGTTGGATTAAGCCATCCTGGTTAATGGTGTCATCCAAACACAGCTTTAGGGCAAATAAAACCAAAAACTGAGCAATTATGTTTTGTTTTAAGAAGGGCGCATTTTGAATGTTATCCTGGTTTGTTTGTTTTGTTTTGTTTTTAAATCCAGCTGTAATGGGAGGAACTGTTGCCTCAACGGGAGGATTTGATGTGTTGAGTGTTGGGAAAGTTAGAGCAGATGTGAGCTCACTAGATAAAAAGAAATGAATAAGGGGGATGAATTTCATTTGGCAGACGCTGGAAAGAACTCATGGCCCCCCGGGGGCTCCTTTGTTTCAGCCAAGTAAACCGGAGTCACACCTCATAAGTCATTTTTGGGCCCTGGAGTCAAATCTATTTCAGTTCATTGTCTTCTAAATCTTTTAGGAAGCCATCGGCGGAGTTTCCCTTCTCCCTTTTCAGCCAGATGGCTGGTTGCCTTCAGGACCAACAGTTGCAGGATAAACCTGTCCTTTCTTTCTTTCTTTTTTTTTTCCCTTACAAATTTTTTATTTGATTTGAACATCATCTTCCATTAAACAGTGTGTCATCTGGGTACAAATATTTTGTGCAAATATTTTATACAATCATAATTACAATTTACAGTCATGTTTATTATTTTATCTATTCTTAACTTAATACTAATATTAATATATACCATACCTAATACTCCAGTGATCCTCTTCTTAATTTATTTAACTTTATTAAAACATTTTCTCTATTTCGCTGCTCTGCTTTTTTTCCACTTTTCATATTTATTCTCTAACCATTGATAAAATAATTCCCATATGTTACAGTAATCAAATTGTTCCTTCTCTTTAATTTCAAGTGTTAACCCATTCATATCTGCACATTCTAATATTTTCCTAATCACATTCTCATCCATAGGGATCTCTTCATTTTTCCAATTTTGTGCAAATACAATCCTAGCTGCAGTTATGACATGAATTATCAAATATACATTTTCTTTACTGTTAAGTTTCTGGTAAAATCCCCAACAAAAATAATTCAGGTTTCAAATCAATATGCTGTTGTATCATCTCCTCCAACCATGTACATATTTTTATCCAATTTTTTTTGGCTTTTGCGCATGTCCACCACGTATGATAATACAACCCCGGTGTCTGGTGGCATTTCCAACATTTCGTTGATTTATCTTTAAACTATCTTTGCCAACCTTGCTGGTTGGAAAATGCCATCTGTAAAACATCTTATACAAATTCTCTTTATATGCAGTTGACATTGTTAACTTATAGTTTCTATCCCATAATTTCTGCCATTTTTCTAATTCTATCATATAGCCGAAATTTTTGGCCTATGCTATCATTGTTACCTTCACCTGTCCTTTCTGAATGCATTTTTGTTGTTGTTGTTAGTTGCGAAGTCGTGTCCGACCCATCGCGACCCCATGGACCACGTTCCTCCAGGACTTCCTGTCCTCTACCATCCTCTGGAGTCAATTTAAGCTCATGCCTACTGCTTCAGTGACTCCATCCAGCCACCTCCTTCTCTGCCGTCCCATTCTTCTTTTGCCCTCCATCGTTCCCAGCATTCGGCTCTTCTCCTTCCTTCTCATTAGGTGGCCAAAGGATTTGAGTTTCCTCTTCAGGATCTGGCCTTCTAAAGAGTAGTCAGGTTTGATCTCCTCTAGGACTGACTAGTTGGATCACCTTGCAGTCCAAGGGACTCGCAGGAGTCTTCTCCAGCACCAGAGTTCAAAGGCCTCCATTCTTTGGCCCTCAGCCTTCCTTATGGTCCAACTTTCACAGCCTTATTGAGTTTCAATAAGCAAATGCTTGGAAATTTCATTTCTTCCCTTATCAGCCAACTTCCCTTTCAAAGTAGTTTGCGGGACCCATTGAAAATGCCTTCCTTGTAGCCAGCCTTCCTGACTAAACATTTTTAAAGTGCCCTTTAATTAAACGCATCCATAAATGGGAAGCAGAATTCTGCAAAGCCCAGCATCTTTGCCTTAACCTCCTCTCCATTTCCAAAAACACCCCCTTGGCCAGCCCCATTAATCTTTCGAGAACATTAAAAACAGGGCCTTAGTTTGAAAGCATGACCTCCCCCCCCCCTCCGTGTCCCTTCCCCGCAAAAGACTGAGCTGGCAGAGTGGAGGTCATCTTGGAGGGCTTGGTGTCACAGCTTTAGAGAGAGAGAAAAAAATGACAGCAAGGCAGAGACGTAGGCTATGATGAATGCCAGGTTCTCTTCTATAAGTGCCCTTTGGAGAGCTCAGACAATGATTCTTCCCAGAGACACACATGAGTCAGCTGGATCAAAAACGCCCAAGGGCATTTACTTGTCATGGAGGTAGAACTGAAGAGCCAACTTCCAGGGTCTTCAAGGCAATGGATGGGGAATAAATGATGGGGAAGATGGGAAATAAATGATTTTTAAATAAATAAATAAATAAAGATGGGAAATAAATGATGGGGAAGACAGGAAGAAGATGATCCAATAGATGGAGAAGAAATGGAGATAGTGACAGATCTTATTTTTCTGGGCTCCAAGATCACCGCAGATGGGGACTTGCAGCCAAGAAATGAAAAGATGCTTGCTCCTGGGGAGGAAAGCTATGGCAAATCTAGACAGCATACTAA